GTGTGCGCAGCATTCAAAGCGCCATATTACAGGCATAATTTGCACCGTGCATACACACTCATACACACTTATTGACAGATTTTTTTATTTTTTTTTCTGTTTCTTTTTTTGTTTGGTTGGTTGGTCAGAGGCTGCAAACTGGCTCGGTGGTTAGCACCGTTGCCTCACAGCAAAAAGGTTGCCGGTTCGGTGAAGACATCCGGGATCTTTCTGCGTGGAGTTTGCATTTTCTCCCCGTGCAGCGTGGGTTCTCTCCGGGTTCTCCGGCCTCCTCCCACAAGTCCAAAAGCATGCTGAGGTAAACTGGTGATTCTAAATTGCCCGTAGGTGTGAATGTGAGTGTGCTTGGTTGTCTGTCTCTAAGTGTAGCCCTGTGATAGACTGGTGACCTGTCCAGGGTGTCCCCTGACTTCACCCTAAGTCGGCTGGGATAGACTCCAGCCCCCCAACAACCCCAGTGAGGATTAAGCGGTGTAAAGATAATGGATGGATGGATGGATGGATGGATGGATGGATGGATGGATGGATGGATGGATGGATGGATGGCTGGTTGGTTGGTTTGCCTTAAACTGATCATCTAAGATAATGGCTAGATTCCTTGCTCACTTTCCTGTGTCTTAAATAACAGAACTGGTTTGAATGCTATTGCCAGGCTGAGGATGATCTATGGAGACCATAGATCATTAGTGAAAACACTGCAGGTGGGCTGTTCAGACAAACTTTACAAGCTGTGTCTTTGGAAATAAGAGTCGTTAAAGGGAAAACAAGAAAATAGATTTTGCTCACACATCATCCATGAACTGAGGAATGTTACCATTTTATTTAATAAAACCACCTTTACATAAATATCAACCAAGAAGACAGATCTTACATCCAGGTGGACACAGCTGCCAGTTGTAACCAGAAGTATCAATTCAAAATGTAATCTATCTCATGAATCCAAATTAAACAAATGATTCAAATACAGATAGTGTTGTTGTTGTTGTTGTTGTTGTTGTTGTTGTTGTTGTTGTTGTTGTTGTTCTTCCCCATTGTAGTTCACATGGTTGTTTTTCACATCACTAGAAAAATGACAACACTGATTGTTGATTGTTTAGGAGAGCTAAAACGACCAATGCGTTTATACATGAGCTCTTCTGGGGGAGTGAAGCTTGTTGCAGATGTGAATAGGTGTTCTACCAGGTGAAAGGTGTTCTATCAGGTTGAGGTCAGGCCAGTCAAGTTTATTCACCCCAAACTCTCTCATCCATGTCTTTATGGACCTTGATTTGTGCACTGGTGCACAGCCATGCTGGAAGAGGAAGGGGCCATCTCTAAACTGTTCCCACAAAGTTGGGAGCATGGACTTGTCCAATATCTCTTGGTATGCTGAAGCATTCAGAGTTCCTTTCACTTGAACTAAGGTTCCAAGCCCAGCTCCTGAAAAACAACCCCACACCATAACCCCCCCCTCCACCAAACTTTACACTTGGCCCAATGCAGTCAGACAAGTACCGTTCTCCTGGCAACTGCCAAACCCAGACTCATCCATCAGATTGCCGGATGGAAAAGCGCGATTTGTCACTCCAGAGAACACGTCTCCACCACTCTAAAATTCAGTGGCGGTGTGCTTCACAACACTGCATCCGATGCTTTGCATTGCACTTGGTGATGTATGGCTAGGATGCAGCTGTTCTGCCATAGAAACCCATTCCATGAAGCTTTCTAGGCACTGTTCTCGAGCTAATCTAAAGGCCACATGAAGTTTGGATGTCTGTATCGATTGACTCTGCAGAAAGTTGGCGATCTATACGCACTATGCACCTCAGCATCTGCTGACCCTGCTCTGTCAGTTTACATGGCCTACCACTTCGTGGTTGAGTTGCTGTCATTCTCAATCGCTTCCACTTTGTTACAAGACCACTGACAGTTGACTGTGGAATATTTAGGAGCGAGGAAATTTCATGACTGGACTTGTATGCTTATTAATTCATTGTTTCAGCTGCAAATGTATGCTGATGAGCTGGTACAAGCAGCTGAGGCCAATTGAAGTTTTCTGAATTTCAGCAGCTCAAATAGAAACTGTATAATCAACAGGGAAGACGCAGGAGGGAAATGTTTCAATAAAAGATAATTTAATAAGCAAGTTAATTCCAATTAGGACTGCAGACCTTATGTCTAATAAGTACAAATGCTCAACAGGTTATTATTTTTTTTAGTTGCTGGGCAGTATCCAATCATGCAAACTGAAGTTTTCTGTTCACTTAACCTGCAGGTCTTTGGAATGTAGGGGGGTAGAGAGGTAAGTGGACAAAACCGATGAGAACAAAACATGCACACTTGACACAGAAAGGACCTTGCTGTACACAGACACCCAGCACCACCTGACAATGACACTGCTGCGCTTCCATTTGTATCAACAGCCTTTTTACATATTTATTTGCTGGCTAATGTTTGATAAAGTGTTGCTGTGGCGAAAAGGGCATCAAGCTCACAACCCTATGCTTATATAAAAAAATTAAAAAATAAAAATCAGCCAAATATAAAAGCAGAAATGTAATAGAAAAGGAAATTAAGCTGTGGTGAGTGGATGTCAAGGCTGGTGTATTCATTCCACTATGTGCGTTGCTTCCACTTTAATTAATAATTTAATTGCTTCCATTTTAATTCATGATGTAGATGAAAATGACCTAAATTCATCACTTTCTCAGACAGTTTTGATGCTCACTTGGCTGTGGCATCCTGTTTTCTTGTCATGTACAACTAGTAAAGTCATGCAAAATGGATGAAGTTGTTGGGACAGATGAGTATTTGGTTTCATTATGTTACTTGGCAAAGTTAATTGATTCATTCATCAAAAAAATTCTAATTGAGACTGAAATCTATTTTTGCCAGATGGACAGAAGAAGAAATTATGTACACACAAAATCACACATATAAATTGTAAAAAACATAAAGTCTCAAAACAACCATCTGAGTAATAACCAGCCACACTCATGTGTCTGACAAAGGACAAAGAAGCAGCCTTCTCATTAAAAATAGTCTGCATATCTAAAATGATCACATTGTGATGCATTGCACACAATGACGTTGAAAAACGCATCATAATAATGTCTTTCCATTTTACCATACACACAACTTGACAGCAAAGTTATACAATCTCTGAAACGGTGGAAAGCACAGCACAGCAAGTAAACACAAATACGTTTTGTCACTTACTCAAAGCAATTCGCATTCCACTGCTCTTACCAAGGATTGCAGTCTTTTGGCAGCTAGTTTGCCAGAATTCATCCCACTTGATGGATTGTTTACTAGCCTTCACCAACCTGTTGGCAGTTTAGATCCAGGTGACTGTGTACTTTCACTATAATTATATTGTTATTGTTGTGTTTATATGAGTGCGTTCTAAATATTTGAAGAAGTTTCCACGAAACAATGCACATAATTCTACCGCAAACTCCATTTACCAGAAGTTCCTCCTTTTTAGAATGACACTCATGACAATTTATGCAATTTCTCACAGCAACCAGCAGTGAAGTGCATAAAACCGCACAAGATGAGATGAGGATTTTTCAAAACCAGTTTCTCCTATGATGTGGTGTTACAGTTATTAACTCAACTTAGGATGTTAAAGATCTCAGGAGCTTAGAAAATAAAACATCGAATGTGAAGACAGATATGCTGATGTCTTCCGGATGCCAATGAGGTTTTTCTTTTTTTCAGTTTTCTCATATATGTAACTCAGAGTGACGAGTGTGACAGCTGTCTTGTGTAATGAATCTAATGACACTGTGCCAGGCAGTGTCCAAGAGGCTGAAGGGTAGAGGAAGCAGCATGGACATAGAAGGTATCTCCATAATCAAGCGCTCAGTATAAGAATCCAATATAAATGTAAAATTTTTGAGCAACATGTTCAACATGAGTTTTATGGAACAATCTTTGCTATTTATTAAGCTGAGCTCTATCAATTCGATTTCCATTTAGAGCATGGATGGGATTGAGAACATCAGTGATCTGTGCCTTTGTACATTAAACAGGAAGGCCTGCAGGTGATGGAGAGCAGTTTTAATCTAGAGGAGGCCTAGTTTGAAGTTTGAAAAATGAATGTAATTTACTTGAAAATTAGTAGTCCTAATATTGACCCTTGAGGGACATTTTTATCGACCATGTAAGGACTCTCACAATGGCAAGCAAAGCAAACGCTGTTTGTGAAAGCAGGTAAAACAGATTCCCCAGTGTATGACAGCTTTACACAACATGGCCAATATGTTGCATTTGACTTGTTAGAAAAAAAAAATTGATAAACTGTTGGTTGCCAGTGGGTTGAGATCAACTAAACTAAACTACTGTGTTAAAAACTAAAACAATAACAAAAAATGTTGGGAGTAGAAAACGGTTAAAATGTGCTTTCACAAAGAATACACCCAAGGTGAGTAACAGCACAAGCTGTTCTGAGTTTACTGATGAAGACAGACATTGTTCACAGTACTTTCAGATAATGTGTTGTTCTATCTCAGACTCCGAGAAGAGTCAGAGATACCTGACACACAACTCCTTCTGATGCAGCTGGGTTTGGTTATGATGTGTGTAGAATTTTTACTATTAGTCCTGAATCCAACAAACTGAGATAATGTCCTACATTTTGACTGACACATTTGATTTGTTGGAATTTAGCGCAGGGTTCAGCAAAAACATTGCCAGAGGCAGAACTGCTGCCTGTAACCAACAAGTTCAAGCCCAGAGAAAGAGAGAGCATGCAACCCGAGTTGGAAGGCTAACTCCTACCCAAGTGGGATTTCTCTGTGGCTTGATTTACGAGTGGCTTTGCAGTGCATTAAATAACTTGTGTGTGGTTGGTTGGATTATGTGCCTGGCATTCAGGAAGATGTCTTGCCAATCAAGAGCTGGAATACTGTCACCGACACATCAGCAAGCAAAACAACTGAGTTGACAGGGCATACCTGCGTATACCTTAAGTGTCAGTATGGATAAAAGGCTAAAGGACATAAAGAGTGACTTACCTTTTGCTTGTGGGCAGCCAGATAACCATGCATTTTCTCAGGTTGGAGGAAGGTGGGGCCACCGTGCACAGCAAAGCGTACATCCAGCATTCGTTCCTTCACGTCCATCAGGCTAAAGATGTTGACGTCATCAGGTGGAATGGAGAGCATCTCAGATAGAAAGTCCACCAGCAGCTCGTAGCGGCTTCGCTGCTTCCCCCTCAGTTCAATGAACTCCTTCGCTGTGATGTCTGAGAGAAACACACACACACACACACACACACACAAGATCGGAACAGTTTATAAGTGGACTCATTATTTCCACTCCTGCTCAAGGATAAATCTAATTATTTTCAAACTGCTAGAGAAAAAAAAAAAAAAAAAAAAAGTCCAGAATACTCAAGACTGGAGCTATCATGGCACGTTATTCAAAAATGCTTCACTTTATCTGACATAGTCTTTTGTTTGTGTCTGAACTAGGCAGTTTGCTGTGTGTATGGGTCCAGGTGTTACTTATGCCGTGGGCTCAGAAAACTCTTCACACAGTTACACTATGGGAACATGTCTTCCTTATGGGGACAAAAAAACAGGTCACTTAACATAAATCAATTATTTTTCAGGTGAAGACATTTTATGGTTTCCGTGAGTGTTGGGGTTTTGCAAGCGGTAGTTATGGTTAAGGTTAGAAGTCTGCAGGAGATCACAGCGAGTCAATGTAATGTCCTCTGAAGCCTCTGATGCACAACCGTGCATGAGTGTGCATGTGTGTGTGTGTTCGTGTGTGTGTGTGTTTTGAGGTGAAGGCAGTAATTGAGAGTTGGAGTTTAATAGCTGTAGCAGTTAAAGGTATTTACACTCTCGACAATTTGGGGTTTAGCTTCGAATCATATTAAGCAGCAAGCTGGAAGGAAATCTTGCTCTCTATTTATTTCTCAATACCAGTCAGCAGCAGTTGTTTAGCACATTAGAGTAATATATTTAATGCTTGAGAATAACCTGAAGACAAGTTGAAATCTACAAAGAGTGGGCAACCAATATTTAAAGAGTATTCCACCAAGTTGCACAGACTTTTAGTCAGTAACAGTCAAGAAGCAGCACAAGTCTTGTGACTGAGTAAATGGAGCACTGGCAGTTGATCTCAAGAGACGCCAATTGTCACGAGTTCTTGGAGCAAAATAAACATGGATGATAACCAGAAGCTTTGCATTGTTTATATGCACATAGCTTGGGTCAGATCCTGGATGGAGAAGCACAGGCAATGTGGACTTTATGTAGTCCCTCATTCTATTCTACCCAGAATCAGAGTCGACCAACGTGCCATCATGTGATACCACACTTTCACACAAAAGAGTCGTTGTATGCATGTATTCCTAATGCTACAGAGCAGTAAACAATACATAACTACAGAATTTACATTAAGACCAACTGACAAAGATAACATTCAAAGTGGGAAAGCAATAAACAATCAGGTAAAATGAAATGGTTTGTTTACAGCAGTTAAATAGTTTGAGGACATTTTTTTTTACATAGGGATATAATTTCATGTATTGCATAGCTGATTCACATATCAAAAACAAAACAAAACAGAGAACCTGCAGGAATTTTAAGAGGAGGCCAGAGATGTTTTCCTTGGCTGCGAATGAGAATATTTACAAAAATTATACAAGTTGACATGTTAAGTCCTAATTAAACTGAAAAACATATTAGTTGCCTTCTTTCATAAATTTAGTGTTAATGATACATTTCTTTAAATCTGACAGCATGTTTAGAAATATACGCCACATACATTCTCTGATCGTGCCACTTGTCTTATAGAACCAATCAAAGATATGCTCGATTTTTATTTAAATGCAACAAAATGGTGTCTTTTGTCTCATATTAAATGAAACCTATGACAATCAAGATGTGTGGGAAGACAGATGATGTATACCGTTGCTAGGCTGTTCCCATACTGGTGATGCCTGTCAAAGGTATGCAAACTATAGGTACATTTATATTGAAACTGTGTCATTTCTCCTCGTTTTTGAAAGACTCATTTAACCACTGAAAATAAATACGTGTAAAAAACATCAGTCCTTATTTATACAGTGTTGAACAAAAGTATTCAAACATGAGCTAAGTACTTGATGGGTCAGGTGTTAAGACAGGTTGTCCGCTAATTTTAAGGTTAGTGGTTCGAAACCCAGTCCCTGTGAGTGCTGACGTTTTCTGCAGTAAAACACTGAACCCTAAGTTCTATCCGATGGCAGGTGAGCACCTTGCATGGTTAGCATTGGCATGTACATAAGTGACTGAAACACATATTGCGAAGTGCTTTGTAGCTTCTAGCGAAGGTTAAAGGGTACCATTTCTAAAATTCCCTGTCATCAGTCAGTTACTGAGTAGCCCATGTCACGGTAGAATGGAAGAAAGTGAGGAGTCTCTACTCCTAAAGCTGACAGAGGGAGCTGGAAGAGAGTGAAGTCTGTATAATGAAGCTAACTGCAGGTGAAGTTGTTTATTTATGGGTATGTTCCCCGAGGCAACACACAGTTTAGGTCATTAGATGTCAGCGTCATGTTGTAAATGTCAAACATGTTGAAAATAAATCTGGATATAGACTGGCAGCAAGTGGATCTGAAAGTGTCAGATCAGAATCTTTGCATATCACACAGTATGTGATTTTATCATCTGGGTGTCAACACCAACTATCCTGGACTGGAAAAGATTCAGTCCTGCATGGTTCCATCAGTAGTCACACCAGAATTATACTCAGAGCTTTACAGTTGTTAGTATCTGAGAGTTACAGTATGTCCATAAAAATAAATACAAACAAAAACATGTCAGTCAAGGGGAACATTGGCTTTGTCAGTATTATGAACATATCTAATGTATCATGATAACAATTAGACTAAAGACCTTCAAGCAAAATCTTCCCTCAGATTATAACTCCAGTGTTATTTACCCTGATCCAGCTCCCCAAAGACAGAGTTTTTGGTCATGTTCTGTGTTTAGTACCATTGTTTCATACAGAATACAATCTGTTTATGAATAGATTTTTCATCCACCTCAACACTTCCTGACATCTGACAATTTCATACTGATTTGATGGTATTCCAGGCTCCAGACAAGAGCTGACCAACACACCAGTACTGAAATGGGAATGGCGAGGCACACAGAGCCCATTGGGTTGATGGATTTCTGCAGAGGAAAGCTCGGAATGTGTTGAGAGAACTAGCATTCGAAAGAGAGCCTGAACGTAAAGAGATCAAGTATTATGTCGAAGAAAACATTTGTGGAAAGATAGTAACAATAATAGCATTTGGCCCAGAATGCTTTGCAATTTTAAAATCTTGTAGTTTTGGACTATTTTCAAATTAGGAACACAGTCACACTCCAGCAACACTACAGATAAAAATAACATTTCACATGAGCACAAAATCATACATGGAGTATGTTATTGGCACCACTATTGGCAGAATCAGATATTTGTTAAGGATCTTCACAGATGACCAGCACAAAAGTGATTAATTGTCCATTTCCTGTCCAGTCACCTCTGTGTTCCTGAGGGGAAATGGATAGCTATGCTAAATAGTTGTCTAGACATTTAATCCAAAATCAAATAATGAGTTAAGGATCATTAAAGTCATTAAGATACATCCTCTGGGAAGAATGTGCAAAGGTTTGTCCTAATCCAAATATTGTACCAATCCTCAGTGTGATGCTGCTCATAGTCTGGTGTGAGCAGTCTTCTGTCATTTAGGTAATAGACTGGGTTTGGGCTGTCTTGCTACATAAAGCTTAAGGCTTTGATCGGTTTTGTTTATTTTAAATGTAATATATGAATATATATTCTTACTTTATCCATCAGAAAACAAAATGGGTAGACAGATCCAACCTGAATTCCAATAATTACCTGATTGCACTTAAAAGTAAAGCAAAAATAGGTTCTTTGGTGTTGAGTCCAATGTATGTCACAAATTTGGCAGTCACAGTTTGAGGCCTGTGCAGAACTATCTTATCGCAAAAGTTGTTATCTCTGCCCTGAAGCAATAGCAACATAGACTTGGAAGACCAGCAGGGACAGAAGGAGTAAGTGTTGTGGGCATGGGGCTGTCATTTCTGGAAAGACAATCAAAAAACTAAACAAAACCAAAAAAAAATCACTTGAGCCAGTCCTCTACCTTAAGGACCAATTCCAAGGAGTACCAGAAAGTGCTCTTCATCATAAAAATGTCATCATAATCATAATTCAGAGATTCAAACTGGTTTTCACAGAGAAAGAAGTGAAAGAACACACACATAAAAAATAGGGGTGGGCAGAGCGATTAGATTTGAGAGTGCATAGAGGGAGACAGAGCCAAGGCATTGAGAGACAAGACAGGGGGCTCAGAACGGGCTCAGCGGATACAGCATGAGGGATCGAGGCTAATGTCAGCTCCCATCAGTCAGTCCAGGGGGAGAAACAAGGACACAGGCAGACAGAGAGACAGTCAGGAGGGATGGGGCTGGGGGGAGAGGGTAGTAACTCCTAACAGAGAGTGGCAGCCTTCGCACCTGGCTTTGATCCAACCTCACAACTCACTTCTGCTTTCTCCTTCCTGGAGGCTTCATCGGAGGCGGAGCATGGATGCCCTCTTGCCGGTAGGCTTGTGATTTCACACAAATAGGCCCACCAAATGGATAAATATCCCACTCTTGTAGTAGTAAACTGCTACGAGAGTGACCGAACAAAACAGCCAGAAAGAGCATCCGTTGTTGTGATCCTTTTGCAGCTTGCTGTGCTTCTTGCTGATAGAAATTTTAGCATGAACAAACTAAGGCAAAGTAGTTTTTGAAGTTGTCCTTAAGACCATGACATGCAATGGATTTTTTTTTTAAAGTTTCGAAGACTCTTGAAGACTTGAAAAGTACTTAAAAATGCCTTTTCAACAAGCAACATGTTCAATAACATGGTTTCACAAAAGAAACACTGAAGAGAGGCAGATGCGATTGTATCCTCAATGAAATACAACTACTGTCGATGCCCACACAATTCTGTCCAAAAAATCTGACTTTTTTGTTTTTTTATTAGTAGTAGTAGTAGTAGTATTATTATTATTATTAGTAGTAGTAGTAGTAGTAGTAGTAGTAGTCGTAGTAGTATTATAAGAATTGAATCCACTAAAGAAATGATCCTGTTTTTTTCAACTTTGTATAACAATAAAGTCGCAGGTAGTGCATGAGGCCAATGACAGCTTGTTGCTAATAACCATAATCATAATACACAGGTGGTGCAGAACACATCGAGCACTGTTTCAGGATTCCCTAAATGCTTTTATATTTGAGAGTCAAAGATCGTTGTGGATAATTCAGAAACTCAACTGCAACTGATGTGAAATTGTGAGGGTGTCAATTTTCTGATATTGCATAGATCAAATCATGAATTGACAAGAAAAAAAACTGAAGAAAGGGTCAGATTGAGTCGTATACCATACATTTTAACTTACACACAGGGCACAGTCAATGCAGCAGAAGCTGAAACATAAGAAAAATACTACATCAAGATCTAAAAACCTCCAACCCTACGCTTCTTGTAATGCATCTTGTTACCATTGTTCTGGTACCCTTCCTGCTTAATAAATACCAAAAGCGTTTAAACACCACACATCCAGTTTGTGATGGTGGCATTCCCATATAAATGCATATTCTTCCACCCTCAGTAGCGCTGATCTGACAGCACTGCCAGGTTTATTTTCTCAGTTATTTTCTCAGTTCCTCCAGCCCAGAAAATATAGTTTTCATAGTTGCATTTTAATAGTTCTTTTTATGGAACAAACTGGGCTCATAAACTGACATCCACAGGGCCAGTCTCCCCCCTGAGACACACCAGAGGCTGCAGCATTGCCACTCTAGACAATGCCTGTAATTTCACCAGATGGGCTGCAACGCCTTTAAGAAGCATCTTAGAAGCACCTCTCCACTCTGCTCTCCTAAAAATACTCGCCTGGTCTGTTGTTAATGACACAAAGAGCAGAACAAGCCAGCATGCGGTCAAACACAACAGTGTAGAGCATCTGAATCAGATTTCATAATTAAAACACCTTGTGCAGTCTACTGATTGCATAGCAAATCAGTCCATCAGCATTGCACTGGAGAGAACAAAATTATTCAACTATGCAACCTTCTTCCAAACAGTAGATGCACAAAATTAAGGGAACATGGGAACTAATCATCAAGTCAAAAGAATCACTTGGACAAATCATGTTGCTACTGAAATGCCCCAGGTGGGGTACGTCCAGATAATGGAACAAAAGCGCGTCACAGATGCAACATCATGGACCTGTGCCTGGAGGAATCCAGACTTAGTGATGACTAGTGTTAGATTAGGAAGGGAGGTGAGGGAAGTCCCAGGTATCTCACTTACAATCCCCAACTAATATATTTTCCAAGTTTCTACATATTGACACCACAATGCCTGTACCCTGGAGGGCAGAAGGATGCGAAAAGAGAGATAAAGAATTATTTTTGTAACATTTCAACACTGCATCTTCTGCTAAAGGACAATCTCGTCATAGAAATAGTTTATAAAATCCTCCTCATGCAAACTGTGTTAGTCTGCCGTATGCAGTGTATGCATTCGTGTGTTTCTGTTTGCTTTCCCCAGAGCATTTCACTCCCTGCTTTTGTTATGTGGACATCTCAAGGACTTTTTGTTTACCACATTTTTTACCTTTCCATCAATATTGAGAAAGCGAGAGGGAGAGTGAGAGGCAGCCTTAATCTCAGCAAGGCAGATTTAACTAGTGCTTTCTTTGTGCGTCCTTATTGCATTCCACATTTGTTCTTGAAATGGGATTTAGAATGTCAAGGAGGGTGTAAGTAATGCTATAAGTAGAATATTTTCATAATCCCCGAGACTGAGAATCAATGAGAGTGTTTACTCCAAAGCCCCACATGGAAAAATAAAATCCTGGAAATGGCTACTGTTACATTTCCTCACCACACACACACACACACACACACACACACACACCACTGTTTTAGTAGCATGCCTGCACCTCAGGATGATCTGAGAGTCATTAATCCTTGATATTAAATTTTTTTTTGAAACCACAGACGCAACATTTTTTGTGAGTTTGCTGAATGCTGAACTGCAGGTTAAAAGTGTCTGAGTGATTCTGACCATGTATTCACAGTGGTGTCTGACACTCCTGCTCCTCAGCTCTCAATTTAAGTCCCTATGAAATCAATACACTCGGCAGTTAACGGCCCATTGATGACAGAGGAGCCATTTAAAAATCTTCAAGCAGGTGACCACCCAAGGTAAAAAGGTAACAGTTGTTGACAAACCTAACACTATTAACCTGAATCAATTGGATGCAAAATGCCAGTTTCAATACCAACAACAAAAAAAACAAAACTGAAAGCAAATTAACTTAGCAGTTTTTCTCATTTTGATTTTCATGATTCATATTAAACACACATTTGCTGGTCCACATTTTGCTCATGAATTCATTTCCCCCACACAAATATTAAAATTTGTGTCCCAGCTGTTCTCCACCATGTCGTCTCCGGGTTTGGCGCACATTAATTTACCTCAGCCCTCTTTTAGAATGAGAAGAAAATCCTTTTATCTACTCATATGAGGCTTGACTCTTACTTCCACCCTTTCCTTCCTCGCTCCCTCTCCCTCTGCTCTCATCTCGTCTTTGTAGAGCATCCGCTGGCCTCTCAGTCTGCTTCTATTTCAATATCTCTGAAATCATAAAAATCCTTCAGCCATGTCCCATTTCTCTAAAGCAAATTTAATTCTGAGCAGACAGCCTATGTGCTGTACATCAGGTAATGATGGATGCTGCAGAACATGTGGGGGGAATGTGCTGGCTGAGCAAAACCTCGACTAATTATTTTGCCAGTATAAGCAATGGAAACAGGCTTTTCCCTGTGTGCACCAACAACAACTGAGATCCCATGAGTCGGGGAAGCGGAATTAATAATGGGTGTAATCTTTTGCTAAAAAAACATCTTTAACTTAGTGTGTAACAGTCACTGCAAACAACTAGGGCAAACAGTAATCAGCACTCATTAATTTTCTATGACTGGAGACAAGTCTGCAAATAATAACCACAATTTCCAACACTCTCTTATCAGCAGACATCATCCCAAATTGGTATTGTTACTGGTCCTACCTGTTGCTGCAACAGTGTAAATGTTAAAGGCCATCAATCAGAGAGATGGAAGGCAGGATGAAAGCAAGTGATGCTAGCAGCAGCTGTAAGCTGGTAATAACGTGCTTGGAAGGCCATAACTAAACAGATCAAGTACCTTCAAATGAATGTCAAAGCAAAACTGATACAATTAAGCAAATGAAACACCCTGAAACCAAGTCAAGGACAGTTTTCCACAGATTACCAGTGACTTTAGTTCTTTAGAGGAGATCAGCATAATTCTTACACGTCTTTGCAATGCTCAGACTAATAACTTAACTGGCAGTTACAGAATTAATCACTCGTTGTCTTCACTCAATTTGCTCAAGGCAGAAAGCATGGTACCACTGAAAGCACAAGTGACGGAAATAATCTCACAAAACCTGGCATGTTGTACATTACAGATATATTAGTATTCTGCCAGTATGCAAGTCTGCCTCCACAAAATTACATGCCACTACAACTAAACTGCATTCCCATTTATGGTTAAGTTTTAAAGCAAACTTTCTCACCTGAGAGATTACGGTTAATGTTAGGTTTAAGCACAGAAACAACGTGGTAAGGTTTAGGAAAATATCACGTTTTGGTTGACATTTTCACAACAAGTGCATGTTAGAAGCTTGATTGATTTAGGCACCAAAATAACTTGGAAAGTTCATGAAAATCATGGTTTGGGTTTAAGTCTGGCCCGTTTCACTACATGTTTGAAACCTTTACTCCAAGTTGTGGGTTACCATTTAATATAAGATTGTGGGCTGAGAAACAGTAAAGCATGCTATGTCACAAACAAATGTTATCATGTGAAAATATGTTTTCAAAAAACATGAATGAGAATGCAGATTAGTTGTATAGAAATGCAATTTTGTGGCCATATGGTTGTAATAAACCACACATAAAGATAGTTTTGGTCAGTACAATAGCCATTTGACCAGCAAAGTTCATTAAAGATCCACTGACTACGATTTTCAAAAGAATTCATCCTCATGCCAAGGTCCTTCTCACAAGATGGAAGGAACAATGGAAAAAGACAACATCTGCTATATGTCAACACCAGGCCCAAAAAACAGAAAAACAACAAAACACTGAATTGGAAAGGGCTAAAGGTCATCAACCATGAGTTAGTGGGTAGCTAATTATAACAGAGACTATTTTAGCGACAGAAAGTCAGTTTTACCTGCCAGACGAAGGGATCCCGAGTTGTAGATGGCATCATCTCGCAGCTCCCTCACATGCACAGTAACGGTAGAGACAGCATCTGGCCAAATTCCATCTGACACACGCACCTGGAACTGGTAGGTCCCAGGTGGGGCATTCTCCTTGATGATCAGGAAACCTGTTCGCTTGTTCAGAATGAAGTAACTGAGGGAATATACAAGAAAACAAACACCCATACCAGTTTATAAAAACTTACATGTAGATGCCTTTGCACTAATTTGCACAAGATTCGCCTCTACATGGATAAAAATGTTTAACCTGTCACACCTATTAACCTATACTCTTGAAGTCAGACTTTCAAATGTTTAACCAAAAGCCAACCTGATAAGTCCCCAAAAGCAAGCTGTTAGCCTAAAAGCTGACTTAAAGTGTCCACAATATGCTTGTTTATAGGTTTTATTTTTGGGTCTAGGGCTGCAAGGTGGCGCAGTTGGTAGCACCGTTGCCTCGTAGCAAGATGGCCGCCAGTTCACATCCCAGTGGGGGTACCGGGATCTTTCTGCGTGGAGTTTGGATGTTCTCCCTGTGCTGTGTGGGTCTCTCCGGGTTCTCCGGCTTCCTTCCACACTCCCACACAGTCCAAAAACATGTTGAGCTTAATTGGTGATTCTAAATTTTCCATAGGTGTGAATGTGAGTGTGCTTGGTTGTCTGTCTCTTAAGTGTAGCCCTGTGATAGACTGGTGACCTGTCCAGGATGTCCCCTGCCTTTGCCCTGAGCCAGCTGGGATAGGCTCCAGCACCCCCATTACCCTAGTGAGAACTAAGCAGTGTATAGATAATGGATGGATTCTTGGGTCTAAAGATTAGGTTTATATGCGTTACTGTTAAAAACAAACAAAAAACACTTCTGTCATACTATACATTACTGCAAATCCTCTTTTTGTCCTCTGTCTAAAAATTTCTGTTTCAGCTGGTGACTCCCGCCTCCATAAAAAGCCCAGTCTGTTCTGATTGGTCACCTGCCCCTGTGGAAGTGATGTATGATTAGTTATGTATGTGCGTATTTTAAGTAACCACAGACCTATATGTAGAGAGGCAGAAGCTCTGGCAGAAGTGATTTTAGTGAAGATACGATGGCAATAACTGCAAGGATGCTGCTCATTCTATGTTTAAGAGCGTGCCAAAGTAGCTGCAAAATCTATTACATAGTGATGTAGATAAGTAACAGAGCTGTGGTGTCTTGACTTCAAATTGGGTATTTCAGGCAGGTAGCAATGTTTGCTGTGGGACATTATAGGCCCCTTTGACACAGACTTGACCTCATAAGTTGCCAACATTTCACATGAAAATATGCACACACAAAAAAGAACCCAAAAAGTATAAATGGGCTCCCCCTTCCCCTGTGCTTCTTGTCTCTTCTTTGTGACTGTGTGTGCCTGGTTGTGGACCTCCAATCATCTCCTGATCTACAATCAACCTGCAAACCTGACATCTATCCACCAATCAAGCCCTGCAGTGTATCTACTCTGGCTTCTCATCCACTCCTCACCAATTCGTTGGTGTCAACCTGTGCGGATCAGGGCTCAGTCGCTAACCTGCAACCTCTCCAATCCAGCTCTGCACCTCTCAACCAGCTCTTTACTCTGCCAGCTTCAGCCTGCCATGCTCCCAGTCTGCCAGGTCACAGTTAGCTAACCCAGCCAGCCTCACTCACTCTCCCATACACCCTTCTCTGCCTTCACCTCAGCCTGCCTGCTACTGCCAACCACCATCACCAGTCCACCTCAGCTCAAATGTACTTAGTCATTAGGTTATATGAGGCCACTAGCCCATGAGGGGGTATAACGGACTGAAGAGCAGAACCACAGGATATCGCCAGACACATTCCAAAGCAACACACACAGAATCCAGACCCTTTCTCAGAGCTGTAAATATGGTAAAAGACCATTTCAGAAGACAATTGGTCCAATACTTTCACCCAAATGGCACACGTAAGTTGGATGTTTACATCAAAGTTAACACTCACGGCCCTCCTGGTGACAACACAAAGTCTCCTACCTCCACAACAACTTGATAGCAAACATAAAGTGTCAGTTGTGAGGAAAATTACACCTCTGTAAAGGGGGGGATCACATTCTTCTCTGTTCCCTTTTGACCATTCTTGCTTCCTAACACCCAGAACTTTCTATACAGGAATGAACTGAACAGCTTTAAATCCTCAAATTAAAGTGATGATCTCAACATCTGGACTCAGTCTATGACACCAGGTCAATAAGGCAGGTATTGAAGAAGAAGTTTGTGGAAGATGCACATACATGAGACACAAACGCCCCTGTCTCTCCCTGTAACAGGTCACAGACATAAAGACAGACAGACTTTTATTGTAAGAATATATATTTCTGAAGTCTTTACTTTATTATTGTTGTTGAATGTATACGCTTGTGTTCTCAATTACATGACAAATTTGCTTTTATGTGTCCTGAAATTCTACAGTTTGTTTGCATATTTACACTTTTTATAATAATAATAATAATAATAATAATCTCAAGAACTGTACAAGATAAACACATCATGTTTGATATCATTTTAATCATGTTTAGTGGGGTTTTAGATCTGTGATCATGGTCGACATTTAACAGCTAAAATTAGCTAAGAAATGATCTAAAAGTAAGTTATTTGGCCTCTGACTTCACATGAACAGTGGAGTTCACGACCACCCCTTAGAATGGACACATCAATGATTTGTCGCTGGTTTAAATTTGGCTCAAAAAACATTCTGTATAAAAAGAAAGTCACTGGAATGCAACTCTGGGCTTTTTACGTGATTTGAAAATGCAACATGGGCTTTCTGAATTTAGGCTTGTTTTTCTTTGTTTTACTAAAAGTTCTTAAGTTAAATTTTACAATTCAAAAGCGCAAATGTTTTCTTTGTAACGATGAGCTTTGACTCCTCTTAGTATTTTTACTGCGGCACATCTTTTCAATGCAACTATGCAAAGGTGCCATCCTGTCTCTGCATTCTTGAACCAGCTCATCCTGCAGATCATCATAGCTACACATCCTGGCTCCCCTTTCTTTCTGTTAAATGAGTAAATTTAGAATTTACATTAGGCTTCTCAATTTCAAAGTAATTCTAAATTGATCACCGCTCTATAAACTGTTGCCAGTGACAATCAGTGTTAAGTAATTAGTTTGTTTACTGGTATTCATTCATTAACAGTCTGTTGTTTGTTACACCATTGTTGTTGGCTGTTTGTAGTATTAATTAATAAATGTTTGTGGATAATCATCATTAGTTCTACCGTGTATATCTTTGTTTGGGAACTGGAGGTCAATGAAATCAGAGTTCACTACTTCTGATAATAAGACTGATCAATACAAGTAGATTTATTAAATTATTAATATTCAATTCAAGATTTAAAATGTAAAACTATATGAGTGGTGACCTTGATAAATGAGTGCATTTTTAATCATGAGGTATAGTTTACACTATAAAGGGCTATTACACTGCAGGTAGGATCCTAAAAAGTTGGGATTGGTGCAGTGACCCTTTATATTATATTTTGGTGGACTAATTCGAAGTTGCCTGAATGCACATTTTGCAGACTTCCAGTATGTGCATCTGCTCGAATAAAAGGCACTACTCATATAGCTCTGTCTGATTTGTGTTCATAGAAAACTAATTATGATATAGTCTTTATTCAGCACCAGGTAAGTATCTCTGACAATAACACATTGGACATTTGCAGACATTTATGCATGTCCAAAGCCAATGATGAGTGCAAAAAAAGGAGGTACTGTCCGTTTAACATTGTGTGGTCAAAACTAAGGGTGTAGAAGTCGGGTGGTGGATCCAGCTCTCAGGAAAGAAAGTGGAGAGTACAATGATACAGGCTTGCACTTAGCCACAGTGTTAGACATAAAATAAAGTTATCTTTGAAGGTAATGCATCATTTCTGCCAACACAAATGTTCTTTTTTGGACAAAGATCCAGATTTTCATGCACAATGGGCAGTTTTTTTTTTTTTTTTTTTTACATATGCAAATATCTATTAGAGAAAAAAAGATTGTTCTAACCAGTTTTATAAATTATGTATAACAGTGTGAAGCAGTTGTGTCTGGGTGACCTATAGAGGCTTAGCATACAAGTAAGGCAAGACACTTTTTCCCATCCAACTGCCTATTCACCTGATTTAACTGTCCAAGATTAAAACAGACAAATACAAATAGCATTTTATCCAGTCCTGCCATGTGTTTTATACAGTGTTTTAATGTTTACTCTGTTCTGCTAATCAATGGCCCTCAATAATAGAAAGTGAGCCGAGGTGATGCATTACAGAGAGGGAAGTAAGGGGAAAAATGAGACAGTCTAATAGGCAAAAGACATGTGGGGAAGCAATTTTACTTGGTCCTCGTCTCCATGCTCCCCTTGTACAGTAAATGAGCTCATTCAAGTTTAATTAGAGAGGAAATCTGAGGCAGAACCTTGGCAAATCAAATAATAAACCAGTTGTAGAGACAAGGGTTGCATTAACTCATTTTACAGCACATGCTGTGGTGTGTACATCATGTCTTGGGTCTAACACTTAACTCCAAGTTTCACATCAATGAAAGGCTGTTTTACAAATCAAGTAAAACTACCCATGCTTTCACATATTTTCTGCCATATTACATTTGTTTGTGATTTAACACATATTTGTTTCTAAGCAATATATTTTTGCTGCTAATTTTATTGCTTTACTGTTGCTCTTTGTCAACTAAACAGTCACATTTGATGGGGTGGAACTCAACATCCTGTTAACCCAAAACATGGAGAAGCTGAAAAAATGTTGTGAAGGCAATGGGATGTGAACCATATAGTTTTGGTGCCTAAACTTAACCAAACAATGAATGAAAACAGAAAGTAAATGACAACTAAAAACAAAGCAAATGTCTAAGAATAATGATCCCACACTGGGTCCAAACTGCTGTTGCTTCGTTCTGCCTTCGTTCTCCTTATGTTGCTCTTTCTTACTGGTAGCCTTTTCTACTATATCTCGGTCTTAACTTTCGGTGAGAAAACATAATTTTTTCATAACAAAATTATTCTTATATTGAAATAAAGTACCTGCAAATAGAAAGCTCGACTCATCCCATCTCAGTTAGCAGCGTCTAAATCCTTACATATGGCGCCCTTAATGTTCCGTATAATTCCTCTGGAAAGCAAATCATGTGCCAGAATAAGACTGTTCTTGATATGAGACAGTCAGGTCACCCACTGCTGTTCTGAACTTAACTTAGATTTGAAACACCAGGAGATGAGAGCTGGCATGTAATGTTAATACACACCATCCTTTATACAGGCTGAACTTTGACTTTCAGAGAGAAAGGAGGAAAAAGTCTGTCATTCTGAGTTCAGCACAGCTTGAAAGATAAAGACTACAGTGTCATGGGGTGCTGGAGTGTCACTGAATGTGGATTTTAGGTCTGTGCATGTGTGTTTAAGTGTGTGGAAGTGAAAAATGTATCAGCTCATTGTCAGTTTTGGCAAGGGGAAGTCTCACGGAGAACATTTTCCAATCCTGACCAGAACCACCTTATTTAATAGTAAGAAAACATAGACACGTTTAAAAAACAAAACAAAAAAACAAAAAAGGAGGAACGAGGGAAGGAGGAAATTAAGAAGTAGTCTGAGGAGGATTGAGAGGTAATGGGGAAAAACTGGTGAAAAAACTAACGTTTCCCTGAGGGGCTGTTGTTCCTTTGCATTATTTAAATGTCTGAATCATTCACAACAACAAAACAGATAACATAGACAGTGTGCTGCAAGATTTAACGGGAAATTCAACATTGTTTGTGCCATGAACGCTATGTGTAACACAGTGATCCGCATCAGGTTTGCTTAACATATGTTCAGCATATTATCCCAAGCAGCACTGGTCTATCATCTATCACTAAGCAACAAAGACTTTGGGCCATTGGCACGCTTGATCCATTATGGCTCACGACAACCTTGCACGTGATCAGTCATAAATGCGAACAAATTAAACACAGTATGTTATCCAGATCAGATCTGGTGGAATTTATCAAGGACCACTGAATAATAGGCTGTTACATCTCACAAGGCAAACACGGAACAGCACTGACCAGACAGGGCAGCCACATCTCTTCTCTGATGTTTGCTCTGGCACTGTAACCTCAAGCATCAACCATTAGGGTTCACATCAATGTTAGAAGCATTGCTTCAGGGCAAAAAGAGCATAAGTTTCTTTTATATGTGGATAATATTTTGCTGCTGTCAAAAATAAACAGAAACTACAGTGACACAGATTTTAATTGGTTCTTTTTCATGACTCAGGATACATGGCTCCTTTTTTAGACTGACGTAAGTGTGATCAACCCAAGACCAGAAAATTAAAGAACCTAAATCTGCCAATGCCTATCCAAAAAAATAAATAAATAAAAAATTGTTCTAAACTGATCTAGTCAAAATTTGGTCTTTTTAAAAGATGATTAGGACCACATGGCATGGTGGTCGATGGTTAGCACTGTCACCTAACAGCAAGGAGATCTTGAAGATCCCTGGTTCGAGTCCCGGCCTGGGTCTGGGATCTTTCTGTGTGGAGTTTACATGTTCTCCCTGTGCCTTCCAGTCCAAAGACTAGCTGAGGTAAATTGGTGGTTGTAAACTGTCCGTAGGTGTGAATGTGAGTGTGCTTGTTATCTCTCTGTGAGGCCCTGCGATGGACTGGTGAGCTGTCCAGTTGTCCCCTGCCTTCACCCTGAGTCGGCTGGGATAGGCTTCAGATTACTACTCTAGATTAATTACATAGCACACGTGCTTTCTCTGGATTTCCATTTCCTTCTTCTTGCCATATTCAGAGCCATGAGTAGCTTTCCATGGTGGGTAGAAAGTTATCTTTTAACAAAATAAAATTATATGCAGCGAAGAAGGAGGGTGGGCTGGGATGCCCCAGAATAGATTGGTGCCATTGTGCTGTCTCCCTCAGCCAGCTATCAAAGTCAAACCCTACATCTACCTGCACTTCTGCTTGGGTGGCAGTGGAGAAAAAGTTTGTGGAACCATTCTCAATACAAAGTTATTTTTACTCAGACCAAGGGGATATACCAATTAGAAACCCTGTGCTGGAACAGGTCAGTTAGATGTCTAACATGAATCGCTATCACACTAAAAGGTCATCAATATAGCAAAATAAGTAAGTGAAAATTAATTAGAAAACAAATTGTGTGGGGAAATTGATCAAGAGCAGGAATGATGGTATTTGAGGACCTGTTTAACAGGAAACATATGCTCTCCTTTGAACAATGTACGACTGGTGGCACAGTAGTGCTGTGGTTAGCACCAGAACTTGCAGGACGACAGCACCTTTCTGTGTTATTTGCATGTTCTCCCTCTGCTTGCACAGGTTTTCTCTTTCCTCCCACAGTCTTAAAACATGCATAATATCTTAATCAGTGTTTCTAAACTGGATGTAAGTGTTAGTGTTCGTGTGCATGCTTGTCTGTCTTTTTATGTTAGCCCTGCAATAAGCTGGTGACCTGCCTCAGTTGAACCCTGCCTCTTGCCCAATAACAGCTGGGATTGGCTCCCTCTGGCAGCAACCCTTCACAGGATAAACCAAGTGTAGCTAAGGGATGGATGGATGCACAGCTTGCTTTCAAATATACACACATGAATATAATTGTGAAGACATTAGATTTGACATGTCGACATAGAGTTATTATAGGTCTTCTGGAAATATGACAGCATCTGCTTGATTTGACTGTGGACAGAGACACGTGTTCCAGCTACTTCTAATTATCTTCTCTAATTCCTTTCCTGTTTGCTTTTCAGTGACTTGTAGTTGACTCTGTCTTATTCCAACCAATTGTCTCTCAGCAGCAACTGATAACTTGCGTTTTCTTCCTGATTGTGGCAGTGACCAAACTATACCATGCATTTTATATTCACGAATAACTGTTTGCACAATTGATTTTGAAATCTGTAGTTGCTTTAAAATGTCTCCAAGTGACTTTCCGTACTTCAGATCTTTGCTGATCTCCTCTGATGCATCTATTATAGCGTTTGTGGCTGAGTCTGATGGTTGTATCAAACTGACTATTCAAATTGGCTCAGACAAGTCCGACTTCTCCATCACCAAAACGTACAATAGAAGTTGCTGTATGCATATTTTCAGCCCAGCAGATTTTGTCATTTTTCCAAAAGGCCTGTAAGAAATATATGGAAAAAACGAAACGCAACAAAGATGCATGTCTTTCTAAGATTCCATCATACAAAATTAAGAGTTATTAGAGTCATTGGAAACTCAAGATTTCTTTACTCAAGGTGGTCTTTGCAAGTGTTCACCACTGATCACCAAGACATATCCCACTCTTAATCTCTATGCATCACATGACTGCCTATGCTCAATGGATAAACATATTATGTAATATTCTTTTATTATAAATTGTGTCATGATTTGCAACTTTCTTTCTGTCCCCCCATTTTTCTAATACTGAAAGCAACAAAGATGTGCAATCAAAAGAAAAGAAATAAGAAATGCTGACTTCTATCATTGCACTTCCTTTTTTTTCCCATCACCACCTGTTTTATTAAATCTGTCTGCTAAATAAAGCAAATAAATGTGTATTTCAGTTAGAAAATGCACCTTGATTGTAGTTGTTTCAGTTGCAGAAAACTGTGTTTAATCTCTAACATGACATGAAACGTATAGTGCACTGCTTCACAAACGTATTTAGTATTTGGTTTACTTCAGTAAGAAAATCTTTGTTGTTAAAAAATGTTTTAACAATGTCAAGATATTAGACACCTTTTGAAAACAGAAGATGTCCAACCATCAATGAATTAGTTTTATTTACCTTGGTACATGTCCTTCAAAGACATATGTCTTGTTGTCCCAATCATCAGGGTCAGGAGAGTAGACCTTCCCAAGCACAGTAGTAGGCATACGACCTAAAAAAAGAGAAAAATGCATCAATCTATCAGTTTTAAATGACCATTAACCCTTTAACTGTATGTGTGTTTATGTCAGATTGATACAGCTACATCGGACATGTTAGGAAGACTGGAGATACTGATCTGCATTGGTCTTCCATGTTTTGAATTTGCCTGGCCATGTCCATGTGTTTAAGTTTAATAAAATAAAATGGTAAAAGAGCTTTGAAAATCTCAACACTACAGGACAAACACAGACACACAATGCACCAGCAATGCCGTAAATAGATTTAAAAAAAAAAAAATAAAATAAAGGCCCGAATGTACCTGCTTCAGGCTTCATTCCCCATTTTCTTTCAGCAGAACCAAAAAATGACATTGCGGGTGGTTGGCAACAGAAGAAGGAAATGCATAACAGAAAATGCTTTTTGAATGCACACTGATTATAATCAAGCAGAAAGAACTGTTGTTGCCATTACTTTCTCTCCTCCAATACCTGACACTCTGAACCATGTGGGAATTATTCAGAGGGTACCCTTCACAATGTAAAGGCCAACCTTGACACGTCGGATTTTAGCCTGTTGTTTGTCTTTGCTAGAAACTTTAAAGAAACGCAGGACAACAAAAAACTGTTGGAATTTATAGCTTTCAGTGGCAAAAACCGACAACGCCATGCTATATTTCTGGCAATTTAAGTAAAAGCACTTAAAAAAAGAAATGTACCATTGCTATCAGCAGAAAGCAAGCAAAGCTTTTAGTGTTTGACGAGAAGAGATGCAAATACTTCATCTCCTTGTAGACCTGGCAGTATGTCATACTTCTAATACCTGACTCAACTAATTGCGCAAACAGCATGTTCTAGATCTAATACAAACCTAAACCAATTATGTGCAGGCTTTTGTAAATCAAATCTGACATTCACTGTTAGTCTGAGTTCAGATTCTCTAGTATGGGGTTTGTCTGGGAGCCGTACATGCAACTGTTTTTTTTTCTTCTTCTTCTTTTTTTTTTTAAAACTGTGATTAACTGCATGTCAAATTGAGCAATGGCTTGCCTTTGTACTTCTTAGAATAGCACTGCAGGCCTCATTCTGACTAAACACAGATAAAGCAGACAATGATAATGTAGTGATAATGGGTGGATTGAAGCACAGGTGAAAAATACGATAAAGTGGTGTGTTTCATGAAGACACACCAATTAGAAGTTCTTTGGTTCAGATTATGAGTTTTACCCAAAAAGAGTACATTTTAAGGGCAAAGTTGAAAATGTACTTGGAAAAAGAAATTTTTTTGTCTATATTGTCCAGAGTTTAACTTTGACTGTTATTTTTTTGGTTTGTTTTCTTTTTTGGTATAATGGTGAATACAACAACCTAGTGTTGGAGATGACCTTCTCACCTCTGTGACTATTAATGAAAATTTTCTTCTCCCCTGCCACATGTGCATGATCATTTTGGTCACCGATGGTCACAGTCAGGGTGCTGGTCACTGTTTTGGCTGGACGGCCGCTGTCACTCATTATAATAGGAATGAGAAACTCTTTCTGTCGCTCACGATCAAATGTCCTCAGAGCCGTCAGCGTCGCTGTGCCATTTAGATTATCCTGAAGGTAGAAATCATTGCTGTGACGATACTCGGCGGGGACGGTGAAGTGAAATGGTGGACCATTCTCAGGAGAGTCCTGGTCCACAGCCCGGAGGAGGGATGATGTTTGGTTCAACCGTACGACCTAAACAAAGAGGAGAGAGGATGAGGGACGGTGGATTTTTCAGTGTGTATTTTTTTCATCTACAGCACCAACAGTAAAAAATCTTCTGCTTCCGACTAACTTTTCTTCTTTTCAATGCAATAACATCAATCAGTATGATAGAATGATATCCATCCCAAATAAGCCTACCTGTGGTCCAGCCACATTCTCAAAGACTACTGGGGAGTATGCCGCCTCAAACTCTGGTCCGTTATCATTTACATCCAACAAAGGCAGCTGAACCGTCGCACTGCCTATTAGAGGTGGAACCCCATGATCAGTTGCTATGACAACCAAGTGATGCTGGGGTATCCTCTCCCGATCCAGAGGCCGGGCCACTGAGAGTACACCGGACTGGTTGATAGTAAACAGACCCTCAGGGTCTGACTCCTCTGATAAGCTATAGGTGATTTCTCGGTTCTGGCCTGAATCAGAGTCGCTGGCTACCAAACGGGCCACACTAGTTCCCACAGTGATGTCCTCAGGTAGCGGGGCCAGCGACAAGAAGTGTGGAATGAAGACAGGAGCATGGTCGTTGTAATCCTCCACCTCCACCACACAGTGTAGAAGACTGGAGAAGTCTAGGTCTTCAACCTGAAATAGGAACCACATACAGTCTCATATATAATACAGCATAGAAAAGGTAAACATGCTAAGACATACTTTTGTCACTCAAATATTATTGATCAGAATACGGGTAGGAAGGACAGCAGTGTTTTCAAGGCACTCTACCTTTGTGTGATTGTTAGTTCAGGACTGATTGTAAGTTTCTACCAAGTGAAAACAAAAAACCTTCACATACAACTTACCTAAGCAGTTGTCATCAGCCCTGTAATCAAAAATATTTGCCAGACTATTTTCTGACAACTTCCTCTCATTGCTGACAAGACAAAAAGGTTCCCTTGTGGCACTTTAAAGTTCATGTCTGTACCTGACATATTCCACCTTTTTTTTTGAAAGGCTTTATAGCATTCTCTTCATCGTGGAATTCTTTGTCTTAGCTTTTGACGAAAATGCTGACAGGCTGGTTTGACGGATTTGTGGGTACCGAAGAAAAAACAAAGTTTTGATCATTGCTAAGGGAAAAAAAAAAACCTTTTCCATTTTTTCCATCAATTTTGACAATGCACAAAACTTTCCAGGAACATTCTGTATAAGAATCTATGCAAAGTTCTGATGCCTACTAAAATCCATTTCTTTTTTTTTTTTTTTTAACACCTCAAAGTCTGGCGTCACAGCACTGTTCATCCTCTGACTTCTGTCAACCTTGGCTCAGACTGTATTTCTTCATATCCTATTCACACATGCTGCATACCCTTGACTAAAGGTTCCCTCCACAAAAGTGAAATCAAATCCCATGAATTAGAGAGAGAGAGAGAGAGAAATGATACAGAACTGAATCAAAGTAATCTTCAATAGTGCAAGGTTTTCTTATTAGATTGCCCTCCATCTACCTTCAATGTGAGGTTGAACCTCTGCTCGTTGTGTCGTTCATAGTCCAGACGTTTCTTGAGCCTCAAGGTGCCTCTCTGCTCCTGCTTGTGACTGACCATGTAGAATTTCTGCTCTTGGTCTCCAGCCACAACACTAAAGGTCAGCTGGGCATTTTCTCCAGTGTCTTTGTCCTCTGCAGCGAGCTCCAGGACCTTAGAACAACAATAACATTGTAAGAATAAAGTACATGGGCTCTATTTCACTTGAAGTACTGGCTCTTTAGATATTTGACAGATGCATAGATTCAGCTACAGACTGAAAAACTGACAGACAGAAAGTGCAAAGCAGATTATGCAGAGCAAATGACGTGCCTAATAAATCTGTGCTGTACATTTTCATACCATAATGGGGTGATATATTGCCCTGAAATACTCCGTACTCAAGTTACTATAGTTGTTATACTATCAAAATTTGGTCTAACAACTAGCAGGTACACAGCAAAACGAGTATTCGACTCACTGTTGTAGTTTTTTCACAAAAAAAAAATAGACTAGTACTGTTACATCAGTCTTAAAATAACTCTTAGATTATTCTAAAGCAAGTCACACCATTTCCATCCATCCATCCATCCATCCATCCATCCAGCCATCCATCCATCCATCCATCCATCCATCCATCCATCCATCATTACTCTCTAATCTTGCCTGTACTACTGTGTATGTACAGCAAAATGACAATAAGCTTGATTTGATTTGAATAATCTATACACCGCTTAATCCTCAATAGAGTCGCGGTGGGCTGGGGCCTATCCCAGCTGACTTAGGGCAAAGGCAGGGATTTCAAAACATTAAGAACTTATTTCAACCCCATGGCCCCCTCAGGGTAATTGCACTATGAACCATGATGGTGAGCTACTGAATGATTATGATCTGTTGCTTGTGATCTACTTGTGCGCATGTGACCTGCACACATCTTTTAACCACAGCTTCTAAATTATTGCTATGAAAAGAAAAGTTTGTGTTTTTGTATTTTTTTCCTACAACAAAGGATGTAATGTCAGGCCTATGCTGGACACAATGCACAGATTTGTTGTAAGCTGTATTTGCTGTGTTGCGCAGAATAACAACTAGTAACATCAGAAAAATGTACGTTGTCTTATTTATTTTGTTATGCAGTATATTGCGAAATGATATGGACATTGTGACCTATTTAACGGAGAAGCACAGGTATGAAAATAGTTGAAGAAATTAGTAAAGCCATTACTTCTCAGAAGTTTGATCTGTCATTCTGAAATGATTACTATATACTTGTGACAAGTACATTTTAAAGCTCCAGTTCCACTCTTTTTGTGACGTGTGTTCCATATCTATGCAATGACAAGGTCATGAGTAATTCAAACAAGATAAAATGAGGTTGGAGATGGATGCGGTTCTGTATGCAGAACTATGATTAAATTTAAATGTAAATTCAAAACAGTTTTTCTCACCAACAGAGCAACAAGCATCATTGGAAAGATCAAGTTGTGCAGTTTCATTTGATATGTGCTACATCTTGGCGCAATGAATACTTTGTGCATTTCAACTGGGGACAAGGGATATGAATTTGGATGTAAATTGCATCTGTCAGGCTCTAATGTTTGCTAAATCCCAACCCTGTCAAGACGCTAACTCAAAATTAAGTCATATTTTCTGTGTAACAATTACTGACACCTAGGCTTAACCCTAACCTATACCTGAGTTATGAGATAGCGGAACTGTATCTCAACATGCTTTTCAGTTTGAAAAAAAAAAGAAATTAACAGCAAATTTGCTCTACTTAAGATAACAAAAAATGAACTTTTTGCTTGAGAGATGTCTGACACTTAGTTCAATTGAAGCCATGGTTTAAGTGTCCTTTGGACAGAAGTCAGTGAAAGCTGCAAAGAGCTGCAGAGAACTTTTGGGTTAGACTCTCCTTTTCTAATAAATAAATGAAAAATACAAAAATATCCCCAAGAGTTTGAATGGGGATTCAGGTGTCACAGGCATATATCTTCCATGTGACCTCCAAGTATTTAGTTTTGATTTGTTGTGCATTGTCTTTTTAGCAGATACTGGAGGTAAAGTACACTAAAATCAAAATGCAATACTTCCATACACAAATGACATTTAAAAAATGATTGGACAGCACTTTTTTCTGTAAAATAAGCTAATCAAATGGCACTACACCAGCAGTGATGCCCCTACTCACCCACCTCTGCATTGGTCTCTGCGTTCTCAGAGATCCTTGCCGTGCAGGAGTGATCAGTAAATCTGGGAGCATGGTCATTCACATCCTTGATCTGAATGGTAGCAGTTCCAGTTCCTGTCATTCCTACCCCATCCCTAGCCTCAACCACCAAGAGGTAGGACTCAACCTGTTCTCTGTCCAGACCACCCATCCCGACAGTGATGGTTCCTGTGGTGGGGTTGATAGTGAACATTTCTGAGAAGATGGGCACTCCTCCTATCTCAATGTTAGTGGCATCTAAACTGCCCACAATCCTGTAAGAGAGCACAGCGTTCTGCCCCACAGCTGAGTCATCCAGGTCAGTCGCTGTCATCTCCATTACAGATGTCCCTATTACAGAGTTTTCTGCTACCTCGCCGTGGCAGCTGGGAGCGCAGGTGAAGATAGGCGCATTGTCATTGATGTCCCACACGTTGATAATGACGTCTGTGAAGCCTGTCAGACCTTCACCACCCTCATCTGTAGCCAGGACAACAAAACGCCAAACGGCACGCTCCTCACGGTCCAGGGTCCGTTGGGCATAGATCTTGCCTGTGACCTCATCAATTATGAATTCACTCTCAGCACCCTGACCATGGAGAGAGTAGCGTAGGGCCTCCTGGTCAGCATCCTTATCTGGGTCAGATGCTGTTACCTAAAACGTGAAAAGCACATTGATTTAGAGAGGGCAATAAGTGTGCAGTCAGTTTTTACACTATTCAATTATTGAAATGCTGCTGACTTGGAGGGATATCTTGACTGGAAGCACTCCACAACTGCTCTGTGCAGTTATAAACTCTCCAGTATATCCAACAAAGGCCTATCTTTTCGACCTCAACCCTCTACTGCCTCTCCTGTCCTTTCTGCTACCTCTTGATCATCCTCAACACATAAGTAAAACGTCAGGTCAGAGAGAGGTTAAAAAGCCATGTTTAAGTGTTTTCAAGTGCTAGTAACCATAGAGCAAAGCATAATTAGAAATTACAAAGAATTCCGCACTGAGAAAAATCTCAAAGGGCATGATAGGAAACCAAAAATGACCCCTGCACGGACAGGCATAGTGGTGGTGAGCCTAGAATTCATCTTGGCTTTTTGCACTACGGCCCTCCTGAGCAATACTGGATCCAACATCTTAAGGCAGACACTCCAACAGAAACTGCATAAGGCTGATTTCCATGGATGCCGACCAAGGAGGTTGCTGCATGTCAGGAACAAAAGCTCACCTAGGCTTTGCCAAAGCTCAGCTGGAAAAAGAAGCCTTAGGTCATGGTTCAGGGGTGTCTGAATACAGGGACATGTTTTCATTTAGCAAAAAAAAAAAGGAAAACCATTTATCCCCAAGAACACCGTTTCCAAGGTCCAAACATGGTCGTTGAAATGTAATGCTTTTGGCATGTTTTTTAACCAGTGAAGCAGGCAACCTCACAAAAGCAAATGGCATTGTGAGAAAAGGGGACTTTAAGACTGTGGAGGTAAACATCAGGCAGTCTGCTGCCTAAGGAAGAGTTGTTTTTATTTTTTTCACTAGACCTTCTAACAATACAATGATCTGAAACATACGGCCAAAGTCCAGACATGAAGCTCATCAAGAATCTGTGGAGGAAATTGAAGACCCGAGTGATGTCAGGGACGTCTTCCAATCTCAAAGGAAAAGTGGTTAAAAAAAAAAAAAAAAAAGTGGTCCAAAATCCCATGGAGACATGAATGAAGATTGTTTGCAATTATAAGAATTGTTTGGCAAATAAAGGCTGTAGCATTGACGACCGACTGTATGAATAATAGCACAAAGAAAGCAAAAAACAAAAACAAAAACAAAAAATAAACAAAAACAAAAATGAAAAACTGAAAATTAAAATTTTACATTACCATCTCTAACATTAGTTTTTTTTTTTTTGGTTTGTTTGTTTTTAAAAAACAATTTTTCCCTTGTTTTAATTCATTTTTAAGCAGAAACTTCATGGTCAAATGATAATTAGCTCTAAAAACACTGCGTGCACTGAAAGACACGGAATCAAAGAAAAGGAATAGATGTTGTATTGCAGTAAATGACTAGTCAGTTCTAGTTTTACATTTATGAACAAAACAGTAAGATCAGACTTTTTTTTGTTCTTCAAACACTGCTTGGTTGTTTAGCCTCCTTTTTGAAAAGCGAGATAACGTCAAAACTTGCCATGTAGAAAGGTCAATTGCACGTGATTAAACAAAAAATATGGAAATAAACATGTTTGCAAAAAAATTACACACGCCATCATTTAGCCAAATAATGCGATAAGACTGTAGTTAGACTGTACCTGTAACACAAACACTGGTGAACCATCCAGCTCCTCTGTTACGCTGCCGTAGTACTCATTGACAGTAAACACAGGAGCCTCGTCGTTCTTGTTAACCACATTCACTGTCACTGTTGTGTAATCTTCCCACTTTCCATCTGAAGCCAGGACATGAAGCTTGTACCTTTCACAGAATCAGCAACGGTATTAATCCAAAGTATCAGTTGAAGCTATAGCATGTATGTAAAGGAATTTTTTTTTTTTTTTTTTTTAAATTTAAAAACAAGAATTTGCACATTACAGTTGTATGCCTTAACAAGCCATTCAAGTTGCAGTTTACATCCATGTGAAGCCAGACTTATAGAACATACAAGGGGTGACCATTGCTCAGGTGGTGGAGGGGGTGGACCACCAATCATAAGGTTAAAAAGATCTCCCTCAATGTGTTGAAGTGTCCTTGGGCAAGATGCTGATTCCCAAGTTGCTTTCAGGAAGCATTGTAGGCTTGCCTCTATTTGTACACACATTCAAACAGTTTGAAGCACATTGTGAAGCACGTTGAAACCTAAGGTTAAAAAGGAATCTTGGAATTTAATGCTCAATTTTTAGCAAAATTGAATAAATGTATGCGTGTGGCATTCATTATTCTAGTGAATAACGTCCAGTACTTAGAGGTTGTGGGAGCTACAAACTCTGAAACATGGATGCTTCATTCATATCTTCAACTCAGCATCACAGACAATCCAAACAATCACTACTGTTTAAAGGTGTGAACACAAGAGCCATCTCACCAATGCAGTGGCTAAAATGTGAAATATGGTCACAATCTCTCTTTCCGTTCCTGAGTTATTGAGTTGAACAATGGCCAGAAAAGTGTTGCATTATAAGGTAACAGTGAAGTTGACCATTAACCTTTTCAATGTAAAATGTCAATGCTTCAAACCTATTCAATATTTGTGCAAAATTTTGTCCAAACTAGCATAAGAATTTACGACCTCTGGACAAAAATGTGTTTTGCGCAGTAACCTTGACCATTGACCAATGAAATGTAACCTGTGCATCCTTGAGTCCAAGTGGACGTTTGTTCCAAATCGTGCAAATTCCATCAAAGCCTCTGGCCGAGCGGAGGCAACCACATCACATAAAGGTAAAATCCTTCGACAAGCATTTACCTTTTGTCTAAAAGGCTTCCATCCTGGAGTGCCTGGAGTGTGTGCCTACCTTTTGTTCTTTTCATAGTCCAGAGGCTGGGAGATAAAGATAGTTCCCACCTCTGGTTCCACATCAAACACCCCTCCCATGTTTCCCGATGTGATCTGGTAACGCAGTTTCGCATTCCCACCTGCAGACCAGGAAAAGAAAGAAGTGAATAAGGAATGACAGTTTGTACAAGTGAATCTCAGTTACTGACAAAGCAGAGTATAGTAAGTAAGTCCTTCAGGAGCTGTAGTGAAAAAAAGAAATAGGTGAAGAGTTTACATCTTGTATTTTTTACAATGAAAAAGCATCGCTGAAAGCTTGATCCCCTATAGACTGGAAGTTCCCATCTTGTTCAGTGTTGCCTGTTTCTGTCAATACAATAATCTGTCTCCCTTAAGTGAACCTGATAGCATCAGCCTGCTTTAGCTGGCAGAACAGAATCAGATAGTAAGTCTTAGATCTGATTGTTATGAGTCCTTAAACAGCAGGCAGCTTATAGCCT